TAACCGGTTCGGTAGATTTGACGAACCGGTTCTACCGAATAGGTGCAAACTGGTAGGAACCCACCTTTGCTCTACTGTATGAATAAATCCAAGGATAGACATTAATAAGAGAAATCAGCATCTGCTGAAGAAACCTACCATATCAGGTTCAGAGTCCTCTGGACTAATATGTTATGAACCTTTCTGTAGTGGTGAAAAATGCAATGGGTTTTTGCAACCATATAGGTGCCAGAACATGATATACATCCTGCTCCAAAATACATCCTGTATGTATCCTGAGAGTCAGGTTCAAGTTGATCTTAGCCCAGATCCTTTCAGCAAACGTAGCCTTGATCCTAGCACTATTTTTGAGGATAGATCATTTTCCTGATAAAGACTCTTATCTTTCTCATTAACTCCCAGGTTGTGACTGGATCTCTTTTCTATGGATTCCTAAAGGAAGATGAAAGATGTTTCAAAATAAGAGAGACAGAGACAGGAACAAATGGTTAAGCATTGCTTACTCCCATTGATAAGATTTCTTTCAATTTTGTTTCTTCTCTAATTGAAATTTAGTAAAAGAATAATGGGTGGAATTTGGGGGAGCGATTATTTCCTGCCCCTGCTCGTTCTTCCCTTTATAATAATCATATTGGTGATGACAGTGAACATGATGATAGGCCCTATATTGCTAGCAAACACTTGTGGGGTAAATAAAAATAATAATAGTAGAATAGGATGTTCCCCACCTTAAACAACACATTTGGAAAGCTCTCACTGAAGCTGATTTTTTAAACTTAGTTAACTTAGTTTATTGAATCCAACCCCCTGCTCTGTAGAAGAATGCACTTCTCTTTCCATGGGAGTACATTTCAAAAAACACAGATGTACAATATCATTTCAAAGTATTATGGGGCTTCAACAGAGAAAGGAAAAATACTATTTGGAACTGAAATTAGTCCATATATGCAACATTCTTTAGTGCAGAATTCTTGAGAATTGTTAACTTAATTTATTGAATCCAACCCCCTGCTCTGTAGAAGAATGCACTATTTAGTAGTTATGGAACCTCTGGATACTCTTTTTTTTCCTGCCTAGAGTGCATACTTATAACCCCTTTGTTATTAACTCAGATTCTATGGATTATTGCTGTAACTGCAACATGCATGCATATTTCCCATTAGGCGTCTGATAAAAGATTTCAAACTTGGTGTGTTCTGTGACTTCATAGCACCATCTAGTGTTCACTAGATTATTAGCAGGCTTTTCTATTGAAATCTTTTTTCTTCTTCCCCTTTCTCACTTTCTGTCCTGGAAATTAGTAGGACTTGCTTCATTAAGAGCAGGTGTAAATTTCTGGCAGAATTTGAATTATTTCTGGGAAGCATTGACATAATCATTCCAAGCTACTATTGTTTCATAGTAGTGGCTTAATTGAAGTGCACAATCAATGCCATTAGGGCCATGTAATCGTTTAAAGCACTTGTAATGTGAGCGAAGCTGGGAGATATTACTAAATTGAGTGTAATCATGTTAACTGTGTTAATTAAGCTTGTGTTAATCTAAGTAAATTTAAATGCCATCCAATCACATTAAGTTATTGTCTTAGCCATAGTCACTTCTTCACCATGTATCTAGTTAATTTTTGGGAAACAATGGCCAGGTTAGTGTTGTGGCCCAGCAGGAGCCGTTGGAGCTGCCACCAGACTCCGACAGTGAGGGGCCTGATGAGTCGGCTCTAGAGGATGTGGTGGACCCTGGACACCGAGAGGCCACCAGGAGGCACCTGAGCCTTGGACCAGTGGGGAGGAGACAAGGGAGAGTGAGNAGGTGGGTGAAATGAGGACCCGGATTGTTGTTGGGGGCGATATGCTGACTCTGTAAAACCGCTTAGAGGGGGCTGAAAGCCCTATGAAGCGGTATATTGAAACTGCTATTGCTATTGATTTGTATAGAAGATGGAGGAGAGTGGGTGGATTAGGAAGAAACGGGCAGGAGCTAATGAAGAAAGGCATTATAGGGAGGCTGAGAAGAGCTAGAACATAGAACATAGAGAAGCATGAGGAAGAAAGAGTAGAGAGACAAAAGAAAGTATGGTTGAGAATAGATAGGTAGGAAATGTAGCAGCCATAACAAAAAGAAAAGTTCCTGGGGGAAGGGTGGGATGGAGTGGGGAAGGTATTTAGAGTGCCTCACCCAATCAGGATTTATGAAGCCCAGAGGTGATATGTTTTGCAGTCCTATGGTAGTCAGTAGTGATACCTACTGATAACCATACAAAATTGTACGTGGGGAGGTCTTGAGGCTTCAACCATGAGGCCAAGTAAACACCTATATCACTCTAGTCTGAGAGTTGAAGCAGCTAAAATGTAAAAATATCTATTTCATGACTTTTATTCAGTTTAAAAATTTGGTAATAGAATATTTATTTTTAAATTGGTTTTATATGTACTCTTGTGATCTTATGCACTGGAGACAAATTCCTTGTGTGTCCAATCACACTTGGCCAATAAATAATTCCATTCCATTCCATTCCATTCCATTCTATTCTATTCTATTCCATCCCATTGCATTCTAAATGTCATTTGTGCCGTTTGAGTACTAATAACTTGCTAGTGATATTTACCTCTTCTCTGTGGATTCAGTTCTGCTACTTCACCTAAGGCAACTTGTTTTTCCTGAATTAAAAAAAAGCTGCATCAATTGGAGGTGATTTATAATAGCATTTATAATGACTTTATTGAGATTTTTTTTTCATTAATAAAAGACGTGCCCCACATAAAAATGTTTCTCCTAAACAATTAATCTGTTAATCTCATAAGAGTGCATTTGATTTTTCCACAGAATAATGCAATTTGTTCTTTTTCAAATAACTTTTGCTAATTTTTATATTTACAGAAATACTTTATAGATATACATCAATTGATCACAGGTGATTTAAAAACCTTCAGCTTGTCCTTTTGAATTCAAATTACAATAGGTTTATAAGATATGTCAATTATTTCATGTGTCATGTCCTATTATGTCCATATTCTTTTTTCTGTTGTCCACAATAAACAGCTAACAATCTAGAAAATAATTTTAATATAATAATTTAATAATTTTAATGTTTAAATTTAAATTTAAATGATATTAAAAAACTGGACACTAGACTCTAAATTACTGTCTTAGTTGATTTTCAGATAAGGTTCACTTTGTAGAACAGCTCTAATATCTTGATGAAAGCTTTCTAGATTATCCAAACTAAACAAATTATATAAATAATTTGATATGAAAAATATGAATATGAAAAAAAAGAATACACACACAAACACACATAAACAAACAATATGATTTTACCCGAATGAGATCACAGGCCAGGATTAGAAGATAAGATTGAGTTTTTTCATTAATTTCTATTTCTGTACAGCTCACCCAGCTGCCGTTCTCAAACCTTACGGGCATTGAATAGACAATCTCCTCAGGCAGACCAAATTGACCTACGAAACAGAAATAATTAACTTCAAAAGTATAAAATACACAAATACCAAATGCATAATTAATAGACAGATACTTTTTCTATCCCATTTGACCATCACAAGAATATGATGCACATCCCTACATTCTGATTCTAAGAAAATAAAACGGAATGACTAGAACTGACTTTTAGCAATAAATACTCCTCCTCTAGTCTAGGAATTACTCCCAGTGCTATGATGGAGAGAGTAGAGAACTGTTCAATCACTATAACCTAGGTTTGATCTACGTATTCTAGACATAGCCACTAGAAGAGGTATAATCTAGACCAGGAATGTCAAAATGGAACAGACCAGATCTACCCCGAAGGGAAAAATGTTGCAATACATCACAAGATGGCAACCTGAAGCAGAGAGTTTGACTCCCCTGATCTAGAAGGTATTATAATATTTTACAGATCTAAAGAAAAGTTATTAACTTAGTAATAAAACCTTGCATTAAATCTTACTGATGCGTGATTTGTTAGAAATCAATCTATTGAATCAGAAAAAATCCAACACAGCACCATTATTATTGTTAACAACAATAATAATAGTCTATTATTATTTTCTGACTATACCAAGTTGTTCATTAAAAAAAAACCCTCTTTAATTACTTCATGTTCTCATTTTGCTTTAGGATCTCACACAATACTCCCCCAAAATAAAGACTGATTGTAAGTGCTGGAAACAGACTGATTGTTATAATAAATATAATAAATAGGTTATACGTACATAGGCAAATATGAAATATGCATGTAGGTCAGAGAACCAGATTAATTTGATGCCAGAACTATATGCAGATCCATAGAATAATTCTAAGACATTGAAAAATATAATATCTGAGAAGCAGTTGCCATATTGTAACAAAGAATGAAGAGTAGATGTAGACTTCATGCATATGCCTACTTTTATCTAAAACAAGGTGAACAATGGATAAAGACAGAAACATTCATGTGGATTACATCTAATGTTCCTATTTCAGTTAGACTTCTGTTGTGGCCCAGCAGGAGCCGTTGGAGCTGCCACCAGACTCCGACAGCGAGGGGCCCTAAGAGTCGGCTCTGGAGGATGTGGAGGATCCTGGACAGGGTTCCGACTCCGAGCAGGGCGCAGAGAGGCTGGTTGGTCACCAGGAGGCGCCTGAGCCGTGGACCAGTAGGGAGGAGACAAGGGAGTGTGATCCGGACGTCATGCATTGGAGCAGTGGGGAGGAGACAAGAGAGTGTGATCCGGACGTCAGCAGTGAGTTGTTCCTGGATGCCCGGCACCGAAGAGCTGATAGGTGGAAGGAACAGTTGCCCAGTTACAGGAGGTAATCGCACTCAGCTGGTGGTCATTAGGCTCCTCTTAAGACTATAAAAGGAATGCTTGTGCACACGCCCTTTTGCAGAAATCAACATCATTCCTAACGCTGGAGAAGCTGTTATCTGTCGAAGTCTGAGTTGCTGCCGAGGTTCTTAT